CACCAGCTACTTCTTAGAAACCCTACACAGGGTCGCTCTGAGTCAGAACCAACTCGACTGCACTGAACAACAAGACTTCCTATGGAGCCCTGGTGTGGCACTGTAGGATAAGCACTGGACTGCTAACCACAATGTCAGTGGTTCAAGCCCACCAGCTACTCCTTGGAAACCCTATGTAGGGTCGCCATGAGTTGGAACTTAACTGGACAGCACTTAACAACAACCCTTCCTATGGCCTCCTGGTGTGGCGCTGTAGGATCAGCAGTAGGTCAGCAGCTCAAATCTACCATATGCTCCTAAGAAACCTTATACAGAGTCCCTATGAGTTGGAATCAACTAGACAGCACTGAGCAACAACCTCCCTTCCTGTAAGACTACTGGTATGGTGCTGTAGGATCAGTGAATCACAAGGTCAGCAGTTCAAATCCACCAGCTGCTCCTCGGAAACCCTATACAGGATTGCTGAGTCAGAACTGACTCAACAGCACTTAACGACAAAGCTTCCTATAGCCCTCCCAATGTTTGGTTTGATGGGAAAGCAGCACATCTGGAGTCACCACCACAGCTAAAACAGAATCAAGCCTATCCATGCTGCTGCTGTGTGTCGTGGAGTCGGTTCCCACTCATAGCGACCCTGTACAGGGTTTCTGAGGCCTAGCCACATGTCCTCCCAAATCAGAGGCCTAGAAGCTACAGCCTACAACTTAACCAAGCAGAGGGAGCGGGGCCAGTCCTGGTTACAAGGCTCACCAGGAGGGCTCAGGGAACGAAGAAAGCCCATCTCTGTCTCCATCCACCTCCTCCTCCTCACCCTTTCCATCTACTGAGGTTACTTCATCTCAACCCACTAATGGCCTTCAAAGTGCTCTTGGGGGAGGGGGGGAACAGGAGTCCATTTAGCAGAGCTGTTAGCATGGGGCCAAAGGTGGCGCCCAACCCCCACCCTGCTTGTTGATAATGGGCCACAAAGTCTGAGGTTTAGCTGCACTCTAAGCATAAAATATTCATTCAAGTCGACATAATACATATGTAGGAAGGTCATGGAAGCTCCTGGGAGAAGAGAAATGCCAGCCAGGTGGCTAAGTGCACAATGGGAAAGAGTTCATGAAAGCAGGAGTTCGTCCTGGTCAAATGCCCACTGAGAACTGGGTTGTTCTGGCCAAAGGGAAAAGTCTAGTCTGAGAGTTCGATCTCCCAAGAGATCTAACCATGCAAAACTCTTGGGCAAACAGATTCTCAATCTTTTCCTACTTAATTGGCATCAACTCTACTTAAAACATTTGTGCTAGGGGGAAAGTCTCCAGCCCAATCTTCAGGCACAATTGGAAAGATTCTGTTGAACCTGAAGTAGGCCAAGTTTCAACAACGGCCTTATGTCTTATCAGTTTTAGTTATTGCCTGAAGTCCACCAATTGAGTGAGGAACTATTATCATTTACAAGGTATTTTTCCACAGTTACTTGTATTGAGTTTAAAGGTATGGCAACTCTATGAAGTCCAAAGACTCCTAAAGGCCTGCTCTAACAACACTCACGTCCTAGCGCCAACAGAAAGGGAAGACGACGAGCGTACGGCCTGACCTTCACCCCCATCCTTGATCTGAAGGCAACAGCAGCACCATGGAGTCCCTTGCCTAGAGTCAAGGGCTAAATGCACAGCTCACAAGCCAGCCTACCTGGAAAACAGCAAAGACATTACTCAGTGCAACACTGAGCCAGAATCAACCCTCAATCTCCACCTGGAACTTTCACTGATGTCACTAAGGTCCACCGGAGGTGTGTTTGGAGTGGCTCGGTGGTTCACTTTAGGAACCTGCATGTGAGATTCGATAGTTTCCCCAAGACTTCCAAATTCCTCTCCCCAAATTCAGCTGAGAAGATAAGCAATGCCACCTCCTCCCTAAAAGAGGGGCAGCGGCGGCGGCAGCAGAGTAGACAGTGAAAGGCTCACTTTCTCTCAGGAGCCCGCTCACACGCTGTCAGAAATCTTGGTGGTCCCTCTCCCAGGTCTCCAACAGCTCTCTCCAGCAGCAGGGTGAACTCTCAAAGTCGGAGCCCTCTGTACACTTGCCTGCTATGGCTGCTGCTGGCTGGAACACAGATGGTCATCTTGCTGATGGCTTTTCCGACTGCCAAGCCTCCAGTCCAGCAGAGCCGTTGGGACAAGAAGCGAACAGAGTTCAGCTCACCCACCAAGAACTACCCCCGGAACTACCAGCCCAACTCAGAACACCTCTTCTGCAAAAGGTAGAAGAGTCCATGACTATGGAAAAGCACACTGGGAGCAGGGGTCACCAAAATCTTAGACAGGCCGTGGCTTTCTTTGTATCTTGGTCTTTCACTGGCAGAAGAAAAGTCAATAGCACACAGGCAATCGCCCTGCAACACCACGTTTCGTTTTATGCTTCAACATTTTCTGTGTGTGTGTGTGTATGTGTGTGTGTGAGAGAGAGAGAGAGCACGTGCACGCGTGCTTAATTCAGATGTGATCAAAGAGCTCCTAGAAACAGCTTCTCCTCAGTCACATTTGGAAAAGGAGAAAGGAAGAGCAAGAAAAGAGACTGCAGTTTGAAGACAACCAGTGGAGTGTGTTTACCTATTTCTGGTGAAACCAGTATAAGTAGTTTCAAGCTAAATAAGACGAGAGAGGACCTTTGGGTTAAGGAATCAACCCAACCAAATCCCTTGCTTTTTATTTCGTAACATTAAGGCTGAGGCGAGAAAGCCTACTTAGAGCCAGGCTGAGTTTCCATGACAATTTTAGCTAAAATCACAGCAATGCCGATGTTTCTTGCTCTTACCTGGTGGCATGATCTATCCTAAAGGAGGCCAACACTACAGGCATTTCTGACCAGAAGTGCTGTCACTAATCTTTGTCTTGATCTACACAATACTGACAATGACATTTACACTTAGTAAGCAGCATAAAGGAAGCACACTGGACAGTTGGCTACTCTGCTTTGCTGAGCACAATGCCCTACTAGCTCCAGAGGAGGAGGCACTCAACTGCCACTGACCACATGCCTGAGGGGGCCAGTCAGTCAGTTACTTGTTTTCCTCCTACCAAGTCATTAGTCTGGGAACCAAGAGTCTGGGAAAGTTCTCTGGTGTAGCAGGGACAACCTGCTAAAACAAAAGTGGAGCAAGAGGGCCTGGAGAAAGTGGTTCCCAGGAGCAAGAGAGAAACAGCTGGCAAGCGAGGGGAGAAAAGGACTGGGAGATGCAGACCAGGCGCCTGTTCCCCAAGCCCTCAGTCCCAAGCAGAAGCAGTGAGCAACCCAATGAGGAAACTGAAACCCACCATCCTTCCCACTCAGCCCCTCTATCACCTCCCAAACCAACCCATCAGTACCCAAAGGGTCAACCATACAGGGTAAAGTCCTGCCCAGAACTCCAGAACGCCTCCTGAGTTCTTAACTGACCAGCTGACAAAGAGAGTGAGGGGCGAACAAAAATAGAACGACATTTTTAAAAAAAAGAAAGATGTTAATAGGCAAGAGAATCTAACAGCCGTTCCCACAGGATCTGAAGAAATCCTACAGGCCACAGGAGTGAAACAAGTCAAGAGGCAAGGAGGGGCAAGAATACAAAAAGCAGGCCCGGGGGGAGCAGAGTTTCTTCTTCCAGTCAAGTTTTTGGCGTAGTAAAAGTTCTCCACCAAGAAGGGTGTGACCGAACTCGCCACAGAACAGCCGCCAGGGCAACTGGAGATGGCAAAAGAAAGGGGAGGGGTGGAAAGTGGCTGCCTCTGGGCTCGTAGGTGAGGTGACACACAAGAGGCTAGTGCTGGGATGACAAATGACAGCAGTGATTGCCAGGAGGAGGGGGGAGCATGTGGGGTCCTGAGCCTGAGGTGTCACTCAAGAAACTAACTGGCACCATTCCTGGGCTGGAAGGCACAAAGATGAGGCAACAGGAAGGGGATGCAGAGAGGCACATGTGGGAAAAAACAAACCAGATGTCAAGGAGACAAGGGACTGCGATGGAGACGAAAGGCCATCCTGATAAAGGCGCAGGCAATAAGGAAGATGGGGTGAGAAGGAACAGGAAGGCATCATGGCTTGTGTCGTCGCTGTGTATGGCAAGGCAAGGCGAGGTCTTCATGCAGCGTGGCTGGGAGAGGGCTGAGCAACAGGTTGTGTTGTGGGAAGTCGAAGAGCCCCGGGAGAAGGCTGCAAAAGTCGCAGGAGGCAGAGGGACAGAAAAGCCAAATCCCAGGGAGGAGAACCCGTGGGATCTAAAGCATCACAAGGGAGTGAGGGCTAGAACCCCCCAAAGACAACCTGTGGGGAAAAGTCTGCGCATGACAGCTGGATGCGAAACACGGAAGCAACAAATGCCAGCGCCAGGAACCAGGGCGCTCCAGGAGCAAAGAAGGGAAAGTGATGAGCAAAGAGTGGGCGAACCATTGAGAAAGGTGATGAGGCTGGAACGGGTGGGTTGCAAGAGAAGGCGTGCACGGATTTGGAGAAGGAAGCGGCAGGGAGGGAAAAAGCTGGGGCGCAGCGAGGGGATAGGGATCAGGCACCCACTTCGGGGGCAGAGACCCTGAGGGTGAGAAGCGCGGACCGGAGAACCAAGGCAGGGAGAGGGGGAAGGCCGCCGGAGAGAAGAGGGAAAAGTGGACAATAATCAGACAAATCGCGGGGGGCTGTTCGAGGAGCAAGAGGGTGGCTGCTCTCGGCGTGGGTGGAGGAAGACCAGAAAGGCCCCCGAGAGAAAAAGTAAAACGACGGAGAAGCTGGGGAGGTGACACGGAAGAGCGCAGGAGGGCGGGGAGGGGAGAGCGGGGCTGCCAGAAAAGACAAGTGTGCAGCCCCGAGTCGGGACGGCGGCTCCCAGTACCGGACTCACTCGGGCGGGGGATCTGCGGGGCCCAATGACAGAACAGCCGGGCTTGCAGGACGGCAGCTGGGGCACGAAGAGGGCAGAGGAGGGCCGGAGGTTCCGTGAGGTGCAGGGGCCCAGCCAGAAAATTCGGGGAGCCCTCGGGGCTCCTTACCTGCTCCGTGTCCCTCTCGTTCAGCGTGGGTAGGGGGGTCCGGGCGCTGGACATGGCGCCGGTGTCTCAGGGGAGGGAACCAGAAGCTTGGAGGAAAGGAGGGAAAGAAGGCGCGAAGCCCGGCCGGGCGGGGCTTCTCACAGCAGGGGCACCCGCCGCATGGGCCCCGGCCGGGGGTGCGGGGAGGCCGGGCAGCCGTTCACGCCAGCCCGGGGATGCGCCGCTCGGGCTAGGCCGCGCCGGCTCCGAGCGGCTCCGGACCGCACCCCCCCGACCCCCGGCTGGGCTGTGCCGACTTTTGGCCGGGCCGCGCTGCTCCGCCTACTCTCTGCCGCCGCAGCCGGCCGCCTGCCTCGCTCCTCCCCTGCCCTCAGCGGCACTGCTCCGCGCCCGGCACACAGGCAGCCGCCGCCGGACCTGCTGCTCCCAACATGGCCGCCACCACCGCCGGTCCTCGGCTCTTTCCGCCGGCAGCAGCCGGAAATATCCGAAGCGACTAGGAAGAAGACGGGGGCGGTCCTCCTCCTCCCAGCCACGGACTACGGGTGAGTTCCGAAAACACCCGAAGAAGGTAACCCTCGGGGCGCGCGCGTCTCTGCGATTCCGAAACCCAAACTTCGGCTTTGTTTACGGAAATCCACGAAGAGACTCCGGACACACCCGCTCCATCCAACCACGCCCACTGAATTTTCCCCGCCCACTTCAAACTGGTACTCGGCAGTTTCCGGAAACACCCGAAGCAGCTCCGCGTGCAGCGAGCAAACCACTCCCTCGTTCCGCCCCACAGCCGAAGGGCGGTCGAAGGCCATTTCCGGCAACACCCGAAGCCCTGGTGGTTCCCCAGGTGGTACTCAGAGTCTGATACTTCGATTCTTTCCGTCAGTTTTCGGTTATTTTCAAAGCTTGAACGAAGATCGTAGACACCAGTGCGCATTGATTATTTGATTAAATAGAAATAAAACTGTTAGCCGTTCCTGTGATTGGCCAGTGTGTGTGTTCGTTTGTCTATCAGTCAACTCAGAAAATCTATATTTGGGTTTATCATCCAACCAACTATTATTACCTATCTGCCTTCCATGACCTGCCATCCGTCTGTCCTGTTGTTAAATGCCATCGAGTCCGTTCCGACTCATGGTGTTAGGTGCCATGGACCTTATGCACGGCAGAAGGAAACACTGCCTGATTCTGCACCAATCTCACAATCACGCTTGAGCACATTGCCACTGTCTGGACCCATCTCACTGGGGTTCTTCCTCTTTTTCGCTGACTTTCCACCTTAACAAGCGTGATGTCCCTCTCCAGGGACTGGTCCCTGCTGATAATATGTTCAAAGTATGAGAGATGAAGTCTCGCCATCCTGGCTTCTAAGGAGCATTGGGATTGCATTTTTTACAACACTGATCTGTTTTTCTGGCAGTCCATGGTACTTTTAATATTCTCCTCCAGCACCATAATTCAAACGCAGGAATTCTTCTAGTCTTCCTTACTCATTGTCCAACTTTCACATGCATATGAAGCTATTGGAAATATGGCTTGGGTCAGGCACACATTAGTCCTCAAACTGACATCTTGGCTCTTGAACAAAGAGGTCTTGTGCAGCAGATTGGCCTAATGCAGTACATTTAATTTGACTGCTACTTCCATGAGTGTTGATGGAAGATCTGATCAAAAGGAAGTCTTTGTAACTTCAATCTTTTCTCTATTTACCTTGATGTTATTTATTGGTCTAGTTGGAAAATTTTTGATTTCTTTATATTGAGGCGCAAGTCATACTGAAGACTGTGGCCTTTGATCTTCATCAGTATTTTAAGTCCTCTTAGCTTTCAGCAAGCCATGATGTATCATCTGCATATCGCAGGATGTTAATGTCTTCCTCCAATCCTGATGCCAGCATTATTCTTCATATAATCTAGTTTCTCTGATTATTTGCTCAGTGTACAGATTAAACAAGCATGGTGAAAGAATATAACCTTGGCACACACCCTTCTTAATTTTAAACAAACTTATAGCGACCCTGTATAGGGTTTCTGAGGCTGTAAATCTTTGCGGGAGCAGAAAGCCTCATCTTTCTCCTGAGGAGAGGCTGGTGGGCTCCAGTAACTGACCTTGTGGTTCACAATCCAGTGCTTATCTTTCTTAGCTTCATATTTATCCATCCATTTGTCCCACACTTAATCCTCGTGGTTCCTGACAGACATAAGATCCTTTGCACCCAGCTGGGGGAGGATCCGGAAGTCTCCCAGCAGAACACTGGGGAAAAAAGAGTCCTACATTGGCCAAGTGGCAGCATTGATGAACTCAAACGAGGCAACAGCAGTGAGGTTGGCCCAGGATCGGGCAGTGTTCCGTTCTGTTGTGCATACGGTCGCTGAGTCAGTACCAACTCAATGGCACCTAACAACAACAACAACAACCCCAGCTGAGACTGTTGTGTGATCTTGGAAAATTACATAACACCTCTGACTGAGCCTGGGCTCCCCATCCCTAAACTGAAAGGATCCGTGTTCCTGCATGTTCCTGCACTGACATTCTAAATGTATCCTTTAATTCCATTTAGCATTTTAAAGGATTTCTGGGGTGGTGCTATGGATCAGCATTGGACTGTGAACCACAAAATCAGCCGTTCAAACCCACCAGCTGCTCCTTGGAAACTCTTGTCACAGTCACTATGAGTCAGAACTGACTTGGCAGCGCTTGGCAGTTAACAACCACATGGTGTGGCGCTGGGGGCTAATGCGTCAGACTGCAAAGTCGTTTGAACTGCAAGTTCGATGGTTCAAGCTCACCAGCTGCTCCTTGGAAACCCTATAAAGGGTTGCTATGGGTCAGAATCGACTCGATGGCACATAACAACATCAACAACAAATCTTGCAGTAACTCTTTAAAATGTTGTTGTTGTTGTCAAGCACCATCAAGTGACCCTGTGTAGAGTTCCCAAGGAGCAGCTGGTGAGCTTGTACCACTGACCTTGTGGCTCAAACTGACATTGCAGTCCAGCACATGAACCCACAGCACCACACCAGGACTCCACTATAACGTTGTTGTTAAGTGCCATCGAGTCAATTCTGACCCTTAGCGACCCTGTATAAGGTTTCCAAGGAGCAGCTGGTGAGCTTGAAAGGCTGACCTTGCAGTTCAAACGGCTTTGCAGTCTGGCGCATTAGCTCAAGGCGCCACCCCAGGCCTCCTCTGTAAGAGAAATACCCTTATTTTAATGCACATCTCAGTTAGCCCTTCTAAGACACAGAAACTCTTGGAAAAGAGAAACTGGTTGAAAATGACTTTTCCTTAGGATGGCACAAAAAAGGAGCACCTGAAGAAATTCTTTTCCTTCTCTGGGCCTGAGTTTCCCCAACAGGAAATGAGGTCTTTGGATTCATGAGCTCTGAAGTGCTTCCAGCTAGAAGCCCAGGTGAGCAGCCTGAGGCCACTCCTCACCCTCAACTCCCTCTGAACCTTCCCAGCAGGAGAGGCAGTCATTGGGTCTGATTTCTCTGGCTTCAAATTGCCCCCACCCAACATACCCAGGACAGGTTGGAACTTGCCTCTTGCCCCACCCCCAGGCCTCAACAACAGCTTATGGTGGGCAGGAGCCAGCTATCTACAAGAGCCAGAGACCTGGCTCAAGCAACAAAGGCTCCAGAGTTTTGGGGGAAAGATTCTTGTTGGGCCTCTGGTACCTTTGAGTTGAACTCCCAGGAGGAACATCTTGAAATAGATCCCTTGGCTTTAGGCAGCCAAACAAATGCAATGTTGTAGTTGAGCTACAGGTGTGGCTGGCTCTGTAGGCAGATGAAACTCACCAGCCACTCCTCAAAAACCCTATTGTCGTTAAATGCCGTTGAGTCGGTTCCAACCCATAGCGACCCTCTAGAGGGTTTCCACGGAGTGAATGGTGAGCTTGAACCACCAACCTTGCAGCTCAAACTGACTTTGCAGTCTAGCTCATTAACCCACAGCGTCACACCAGGACTCCCAAAAACCCTATATAGGATAACTATGAGTCATAACAGTATTTAACAACAACAAAGGCTACAGGTAAGGAGCTCTGGTAGCGTAGTGGTTACGAATCAGGCTGCTAACCTCAGGGTCAGCAGTTTGAAACTACCAGCTGTTCCGTGGGAGAAAGATGAGGCTTTCTGCTCCCGTAAAGATTTACAGCCTCGGAAACCCTGTACAGGGTCGCTATGAGTCGGAACCGACTCCACAGCACATAACAACAACAACAAAGGCTACAGGTATAAAAATAAAAACTACTGCCTAAGGCTATAGGTGGAATCCTGGCATGGCACTGTAGGATACGCACTGGATCACAAGGTCTGTTTCAATCACAAAGTCAGCTGTTCAAATTCACCCATTGCATCTCAGAAACCCTATTGTTGTTGTTGTTATGTGCCATGGAATTGGTTCCGACTCATAGTGACCCTGTACAGGGTTTGCGAGGCTGTGAATCTTTATGGGAGCAGAAAGCCTCATCTTTCTCCAGAAACCATATACAGGGTGCTATTTAGTCGGAACTGACTCAAAGGCATAAAACAAGGCTACAGTTAGAGAGTACGGTGGTTTCATACAATAAGCACTGGTCTGCAAATCACAAGGTTCGAGCCTGCCAGCCGCTCTGCAGGAGAAAGAAGAGATTTCTGTTCCCTGAGATTTAAAGACTTGGAAACCCTATATAGTATTACTATGAATCGTGAACAGCTCTACAGTGCTTTAACAACAAGACTACAGGGAAAACCCACAGTCTTAGTAAATGCACAAGGCTGTTGTTGGACAGGGCTCCAGACCCCACCCAGACACTAAGATCGAGGTAACTTAGAACAGAAGGAGGTGAGGTGGGGAGGGGAAGGGAATTGGGGAGTACAGAAAACCTCCTACTCTGGTTACCAGTCAGACTGCTCAACTCAAGGTCAACAGTTCAAAACTACCAGCGGTTCCGGGGGACAAAGATGACGCTCCTTGCTCCCATAAAGTTTTACAGCTTCAGAAACCCTACACAGGGTCACTATGATTTGGAACCAACTCCACACGCATAACCACCCCCACCACCACCACCCCCCCCAAGGAGCTCTGGTAGCTTAGTGGTTACCAGTCAGGCTGCTAACCTCAAGGTCAGCAGTTCGAAACTACCAGCTGTTCCGCAAGAGAAAGATGAGGCTTTCCGCTCCCATAAAGATTTGCAGTCTTGGAAACTCTATGCAGGGTCGCTAAGAGTCAGAACCAACTCTACAGCACACCACCCCCACCCCAAATTCCTCAGAAAATCCATGAGAATGATCTGCCCTCTGGTGGTCACAGGGAGACACCAGAAGCATGCTGATTGCTGAACTCAAGTCACCTCCAAGGCCTGGGGTAGGAAAGGGAAGGGATGGAGGGGAAGGGACATTGGTCTCAGAATCTCTGCCTAGTCCACACTCTCATTCCCATACTTCTACTCAATCAGGCGGCAACCCCTGCCTCACCTGTGCCCTGCAACCACCAGCCCTTCCCCACCCTACCACCCACCCATCTGGAGCTCAGCTTTAGAGCTGCCCATGGTCTAGTGGTGAGAACTTTTGTTTTCTTTACACTTTGGTCCTCAAATTGTCATCTTTGCTCTTGAACACTTTACAGAGGTCTTGTGCAGCAGATTTGCCTAATACATCATTTGATTTCTTGACTGTTGTTTCCATGAGTATTGATTGTGGATCCAAGTAAAATGAAGTCTTTGACAACTTCAATCTTTTCTCCATTTGTATGGATGGTGTTTCTTGGTCCAGTGGCGAGGGGTTTTGTTTTCTTTACATTTAGCTACAAGCCATACTGAAGATTGTGGTCTTTGATCTTCAT